CCTTTTCTCTGGGGGAGGTGTGCTCAAATCTGGGCCTTTTTAAGAGGATGGACATCAACTCCCAGAAATGGGTTGGGGGGGGGGGTGTGTGTTGTGAATGTACTCAACTAATAAAAAAAGGGGGCAAATTTGGAAAAAACACTGCTCTAGGAGTTCAAGGGAGCATATAGAGAACTCCCTCCATCATATCTACTGAACAACCACAATTCCTTGAGATAGTTAGGGCTTAAAATGGTGTGAATTGAATTTGAATATGCCCAGTTCCATTTCAATACGTGAACCACTAACCAAAGCCACCAGTGATTATCCTGCGTGTGTTTGAAACCAGATCAAACTAGACCTCACGTTTGAAAAGATCAGGTTTTGAATTATAAATAGAATTAATATAATCCCATTAGTTCTTAACACAGTTCCATAATATGCCTCTGACTCTCTCAAGGCAGGAAAGCAGTTATAGGTTGGCAGAAGCTAATGGTTATGTTTCCCTGCTTGTTTTCACAGGCTATTCGAAGTTTCCAGATCGCCTTGCATATTTATCCCCTCAGCTCTGAACTGTGGAATGAAGATCTTTCCTGGGCAAAAAAATTACAGCAACAGAAGAAAGCAACCAAAACTGAGACAGGAATGCAGAGGGCTGAGGAAAAAACGTTGGATGAGCCAATCCCAGATTATGATTTTGAAAGTGATGAGATCTTGGCTGTGTGCGCCGCCATTGCCGAAAAAGAAAAAAGCACTTCATCCTCTAAAACTGTAGTGATCGTATCAGCTTCAGGAGCCGTTGAGACTGTAACCGAACAAGAGGAATGTGCAACAGTCCCTGATGGTACTGTGTTTATCAAAGCACGATAATCTACATAGTCTCTTCCTGTCACAGCCATACATTTGGGGAATTGTTGCTGTTGTTGTTTCACTTGCTTTCCCCTCTGTTGGAGCCCCATCTTGGGTCACTAAGCACTGGAGATCCCTGCCCCATCAGATTAAGCTTCAGGAGGCACAGTGGCCATGGGTCTAGCAGGGCCAAGGAGGAGGCCGTATCTGGAAAACTGAACATCAGTAGCTTCATTGCTATTGTGTGCTCCCAGATTGAATGCTACTTTATACAAAAACACCCTTGCAAATTTGGTGCCTTCCCAATGTAACAGCCTACAAGTCCCACAATCCCCAGGTAGCGTGGTCCATGATGACGGTAGCTGAAGTTCATGGAAGGTGAAGTACAATCCCCCCAAAAGGCATCCCCATTGTGGAAACCTGGTGTTCAGTATAGGAAGAAGAAAACAGAGCAGCATGGGTTTGGAAATGGCGGCTTTGAAATAGGAACTGGAAGTTTTGGGTCTGTATATATTTATACTGCCAAAAATTACAGGATTCCTGTTTATGTTTTCCTAATCTGCCTTAATTTGTTCATAGCCTTGTGTGGGTGTGTATGCATGTGTGTGTGTGTGTATATAACCATACACAGACTGGAATGGCTTTGTAAGCTTGCTATCAACCCACTAACATCTGTTCTGACCATGATAAAGTAAAGCAGGGAATGAGGCAAAACCTTCACAGATGAGGTACGGAATGTGCTGAATATGTTTCAGACTGTAGTTTTTTGAGTCAAGGTCATACATGGTCTCATTCTGTTGTCTTAATGCAGTTCTCAGATGCAGTTCTCAAATGCTGCTTCTGATGCAAGATACTCTCCTTGTTTTGCCAAATCCAGTTATAAAATATATTTTTACACTTGAACAAAATACTACGGAATGTGCTGAATATGTTTCAGACTGTAGTTTTTTGAGTCAAGGTCATACATGGTCTCATTCTGTTGTCTTAATGCAGTTCTCAGATGCAGTTCTCAAATGCTGCTTCTGATGCAAGATACTCTCCTTGTTTTGCCAAATCCAGTTATAAAATATATTTTTACACTTGAACAAAATACATCAGGTGGCC